ATGAAAAGGACAATTATAAAATGTCCTCTGATTTCTACAAAAGAAACTTGTTAGTTACTATGATTAAAATATGATGTTCCTTCAGCAGAAAACAGTATATGAAATATAAGATGTTATATGAAATATAAATGCCGAGGATAATTAATCAAATATATTTAATAAACAAGTTCACAAATGAAATTGCACAACAAACTGGAAACAAAATTTTATTCCTAATAACAGCACTGGTGGCCTATCAACTTGTTTATTCTCAAAATTAATTGCCCATGACCATACAAACCAGGAAGTGACAGAGTAACAGTTCCCACTGAGGGGATCAGAGGACTGGTATGTTTAGTGTGTGAAATGTTTCAGTCTGTGGTGGGTCTTAATGGCAGAGTGTGTATCATGGAACAGAAAGAAGAAATGTACAATGCCATTGTCATGTGACCTCTTGGCTACAATTGCATCGTAAACACATGATATCATTCCCACCCCATGATGCCTTCTGATTGAGAGAGTGATGAACATATGTAGAAGATTCATTTTGAAATATATAAATTCTTGAAATGTAATTTAAGCTTTAATCTAACATTCCAAAAAATGTTTCAAAAAATATATCCTAAATGATACCTTCAATGCATTTAGTTATCAAGAAAACAAACATAAAATTCTAAAGAAAATACCCAAACCTGCCATTAAAGCAATTTATCCAAATAACATGCATAATTGTCCAAACCATTTTCACTTTGCAAATAGAAATCAAGTTGTGATGGAAAACGATAGCATGAAAATGTAACCAGCAAGAAAACAAAGTGTGTGCCCTGACCCTGAATATTTGAAATATCTCCAAGCATTGTGCTCTGTAGATACCCAACACTTGTCTCACTCCTGCCACCACTTCAGTGCATGCGACACCTGTACCTACCTGACACAAAGGGAATGATTGATGCCTGTGTCGAAACACTCAAATCAATTTCATTTATGAAAAATACTTTGACAGGTAAAGAAACTGTTCATTTGTATTGTAAACAAACCCTTACTAACGTCAAGACTGAGTTTTGTGAATAGTGAACAGTGGATATTGAATAGAGGATAGTGAACAGTGGATAGTGGATAGTGAATTTGATATTTTAAGAATAAGTCAAGTGTGCACATCTTCCATTCTGAGTAAAAACAGAACACTGATAGGTGTATTTACTTCAGGATGTTTTGGGGAACAGATTAAGGCATAACTACTCTGAGAGGTCTGAGGCATCGCATAATTAATTGAAAATGTTGACCTATCACTTTAAAGGGTTATTGCCAGGGACCAAGTTCATGTTTGTTTGCTGTTTAACGCCACACTTGGCAACACTCCAGCTATTTTATTGTGGCCTGCAAATAATCAAGTCGAGTGATTGATATTGTGAGTGTAGCGGCCATAACATTTCCGAGGCCTGTGATGGGATTCAAACCACGGACCTTCTGATCAGATGTCGGATGCCTTGTCCACTTGACCAAAGAGGTAAGGTAAGGATGTCATCTGTGGGATGACTCCATGCCCTGCTACATGAGCAATGTAATAAACTAGTGAAACTCATTGGCCCAAATGAACACAGCAGAGGCTGTCTGAAAGCTGAGATGAGTCCTACTGTGAGTGAGTGAGTGAGTGAGTGAGTGAGTGAGTGAGTGAGTGAGTGAGTGAGTGAGTGAGTATGGTTTTACGCCGCTTTTAGCAATATTCCAGCAATATCACGGCGGGGGACACCAGAAATGGGCTTCACACATTGTACCCATGTCTGGAATCGAACCCGGGTCTTCGGCGTGACGAGCGAACGCTTTAACCACTAGGCTACCCGACCGCCCCGAGTCCTACTGTGAATATTCATGACTGCATGTGTACCATATCACAACATGATGTTTCAATCAACTGAAATTGATATACTTATGAAAATATTTCCCTCCCCAAAATTCACAAGTTTCAAACATCTATTTATAATGGTAATGTATGAAAAGTAACAATACTCTACGAAAATTCAAATAATTTTAATCTAAATACAAACCGCCTTCATATCAGTTTAGCGTTGAAGGCTAACATTTACATATGATTAACAAGATGTATTTATTGTAATACATTATCACTGATGAGATATGTTAGTGTCTGTAGCCCAGCAGTAGATGTGGGTTTAATGTTCCAGAGAGTTACACCAGTGTCAAAGGAGACGTTAAAACTAATACATCACAGCTCTGTAAATCCATCAAGTGTGTCAGTAGAGTGTATATCACGGAATTAATATCATGGTAATTGATTATGCAAATGTACACGTGTCACTGAAGGTATGACATGATGGATGACATTTAAGTGACAGACTGGAGAAGAAATGTGCAAGTTTTATTATCATGGTGATTTTCTAATGACAGGTGCCCCTGGCTACAAAGGGAGGTAAGTGAAGTTGATGAACATTATATCAACACTGGGCTAAGATGGCTTAGATGATCATGACTCCTATACTTTAACATAGGCTTACAATAGTCTTAGCGCTAAGATCACTTTGTGCAAGTGGGCCCTGTTATGAATGGTGGTCTTTACTAAGACTGAGTGAGTTGGGTTTGAAGCCACTTTTAACAGTATTCAAGTTATATCACAACATGTTAGCTTGAAGTGGGAGGAAATCCCAAAGTGATGCAGATCTCAGATGGTTTATCCCTTTGGTGAAACCCACAAGCACAGGTATTGTACTGACAAACCTAGAAACATAATTGATGTGAGCCAGGATTCAAACCAACAATCTGAGATTTCTGGTATGCCAAAGGGAAACAACTCTGTATAGAGACTTTACCTAAGTGAGGAACTGGGAGATAAATATTAAATAATGTTTCTTGGTTTAATCATAAGATAAAAGTCTGATATTTTTAGAAAGAAAACTGCTATATTTAGCTCAGTGGAAAAAAAGATAAGATAATAATACCAATAGTTTCTTTCTATATCAGATTTTAAAATATGTCGTAAAAACACTCCCAAGGCTTGACACCTGAAGCAGTCAACACTTACCAGCAAACATCCTTACCATGTTAACAGAGAGTACAGTTTCACGTCATAACAATTCCTTGCCTACCAGTTCTGGACATAGCACAAAGGTGTGACTGTCTTCTAGACGACTAAACATGCATGCCTTCAACACTGTCATTGTGTATGCCATTTAATAATCAAAAGTTGGAAGAACCTGAGAGACGCCATTTTTCTTGATGACTTGATATTTGTTTCATGTTCCATGTGTGATTGTGTGTACTCTGATATATTTGTCACGTGTGTGAGTGAATGTTGTTTTACGCCACACTCAGCAATATTCCAGCTATATTATGGTGGTCTGTAAATAAGAGTCTGAACGAGCCCTACCAGTGGTTGAAACCATGAGCATTGATCTACACATTTGAGATATGATGACATGCCTCAACAAAGTCAGTGAGCCTGACCTGATCTTGTTAGTTTCCTTTTACGACAACCACAGGTTGATCAAGACAAACTGTAACCCAAGGGTTTGAGGATGTGTTCTCATGATATATTTGTCATATGCGTGTGTGAGTGAGTGAGTGAATGTCACTTTATGCCACAGTCAGCAATGTTCCAGCTATATCATGGAGGCCTCTAAATAATCAAGTCTGGACCAGACAAACTAGTTTTTGGACAGCATGACAAATGATCTGTACCATCAGGGCACGATGATGATTAGCCCAGTGATACATTTTGACAACCTCAACATTTTGCGATTTTAGCCACTAGTCCGAAACCCAAGTCTAGTGAAAATCAGCTTTTTCTACGGTCAGTATTGTAAGACTACAATCTAAAGAAAATAATGTCAAAATATATGTTTGGACTAGTAGACTAACTACTTGTATTTGGCATAGACTGCCTCAATAGTCAGCTCCTGAGCATGGCGTACTGAGGAATGTCCCTGCAGATGGGTAGATATTATATGTGCATGTGATATAGATACATGTATTCACTGTGTGTAAAATAGGAAGGTGTCATATATGTGTAAATACATTTTAAGCAATACTTTTGCAGACTACACCAACTCACCTGGGAATGCATTTTGATTATTTAGTTTCCTGAAAAAATTGAGCTGCATCATGATTGACATGTTCAGACATTCAGACCCAGTTCAGACCAATAATTCAGACAAAAGCTAAGTCACCCACCACACTGACAAGTTCAGGAAGACATACGTTTCAGTTCTTCTGTCAGAAAGTTAGGCAGAAACTTTTAAAAAACAACTCATTTTAATTTCTTATTTCTTTCCTCTCCATTATAACAAATCTGAGTAAAACGGACCGACTAAAAAATACTTCCTCTATACATGCCTTCAATCCCACCAGTGAGTACCCCCAATACAAATTCCCAAACGTGATTCTATGCTTAACACTAAATCCACCGTCAAATTGTGACATCTTGCTTTAGACAGTAAATCATGTCAAAATAATATTTTATGACTCTCAAATCTGCCCAACTGGGTTGTATATTTCGATCTGACATAAATTTTCCTCAGTCCATGAGACAGCTTTATTCAAGAATGACAGATTTATACAAGAACATGACATAAATGTGCTACCCATGACTTTTGTTCTCTTCAAAATACATTGCAGGAATATTAAATGTTTTTAAACAGCCATTATGGCTATGTCTGAGAATAAGGACCAAGTATATTCACTTCTTGGTTGCATAGATATTTTTTAGATATAAAAACCACCTGTTTGTTTCACATCCCTGTTGTTCCTATTATCTTAGCATTGTACAAACTGCCTGTCAAAACAGGATAATAAATCCTTCATTGAAAGTGACAGGAAGAGGGAAAAGTCTAAATTGTTAATATAGTGTTGGGCAAGGCTACTGTAACCTGATCGCATATTTACACCTCGAATCTGAATGTCATCCTTACGAAATGTACAAGCCTGTGTTACTACAGCAGAAAACCTGAGCCATCAAGCAACATGCATATCATGTTTGTTACAGTCAATCATGAAATAGACAACATACATACCACTGTGAGCTATTCAGCCAACATCTAGATGACGACATGGACAATACGACACCTCACGTCAATGACAAGTTTAATACAGTGTAGTCTGCAAGTGACATGCAAGATCGACTGAGGGAAGCACTCAGCCCTTGTCGCCTCGGTAATGTGTGATTGACAGGTGTCAGGTAGTGTGTAATAAGGTCAGGTGCTCGTGTGTGATTGCAACTGACAAGTGTGTCACAACAATTATTTCCCTGTGTCTGGATGCGAGTGGTCATACTTCTCTGTGATTGGGAGAACAGCTTGTCAAATATGGATCTAAAAAGTGTATGAATTATTTAAAGAATCTTGTGACATATCTCATGTCACGGAGATCGCAACTGTAATCAGTACCACTTAAAATTAATGAAACAGAATCCTGCAAAAAGCTATGAATATGAAATGGACAACGTGTCATGTTACTCCTTTTCAGAATATATGCACATAACCAGTGTTCCACAAATACGCTGGTCAGCAGGACAAATACCAGTGCACATTAATCAGGGCCAGCAATATTAGAATCAAGGTGGCGCGACTATGTCAGTCTTCCCATTTCGTAAACCAAGTGAAGGAGAGAATTTTGAAAAATATCTTTGATAGAAACAGGTGATACTTTAATCATATGCATCCAGTAAGTGTCTGTAGTGCACTGATTTTTCAGTAGCACTGGTCGCACTGGCTACCGGAGAAAATAACGTTTGCATTCCCATTAAAGATGAGCTGATTCAGAAAATTGGCATTCCTGGCTAATTTGATTCACGTCTTTACAAAATTCTTTTCACTTTGTCTGTAAAACAAAAGTTGAATGATGTAAATCAGTCTTGCAGTTGATGATTACCTAATCACACAGACATAATGTTTGCAGAAGAGGCCTGGGTAACAACATACTATTAAGCAACATACTATTACTTGCACAACATATTATCAATAGTTGACAGTGAAGAGGACTGCTGTTGAAAATCTGAAGATTTCAATAGTGTGATGACAGCCAAAATACAGGATTTATGGCACAAATGAAAAAGAGGTCCGTGTATTGAAAGAATTAAAATGTCTTGGTTTCACACATGTCACCCATAACAATGTCTCGTCCTTGACTGGAAACAGACAGGAGACTGTTGTGATAGGTTCCCCTTAACAGTCACTCTGCAAGTCTTGTGTAACCTCCGATTTAGGGATTCCAGGTTAAAAATAGCAACCTTTGCCTGTCCAACCATATGAGGCGACTAAATGGATCGGGTGGTCAGACCCAGCGACTTGATTGGTTCATTGTGTCACCGTACCCCCAACGGCGTGGATCTTTGTTCACAATATCAATCACTGGTTTGTCTGGACAAGCTTATTTACAGGTTGTCGTCATACAACTGGAATATAGCTGAATGCCGTGTATAGAACAAACAACTCTTGTGTAACATGTAGTCCGCAGGGATGAGAATGGTTTGTGTTTTATAAAAACACTGAAAGGTAGCTGGGGATCTGGGGAACTATACGACTATTGAATATACCATAATGGCATGTATCACAAAAGTAAACCTTGACATAACGAAATCCATGACATTTGAGGAATCTCTGAATCTGGTCTTCATTAGGGGTGAAACTATTCATCAGATAATCTTTGCATCCCAATTATACATGGCTAAATGACCCATTTCAATGAAATAAAGTATCAATAGCTTATACTGAGATTACTGTTAGATAGTAAAAATATGAAAACACACAGTCATTCCTTTTTCATTCATTTGTATTCAAAATGCCCTTGTTTGAACATATGTGGATTTCCTTTAAGAATGTGTTCATAATATGTTCCAACCCCTGCTGAATGGTGTATACAATAAGGAAGTCTTCATCAAAGGAAGGAAGTTCGCAATACAATAACACTGACAGTCCCACCTTTAATATGTTACATTAGGTTAGAAATACTCTCTTAAAGATAGGGGGCACGGGTGGCCCAGTCGTCTAAGGCGCCGCGATTCGCTGTGCAGAGTTGCGTCCCCTGGACACGCCAGAAACCTATGATTGTGGGTTCGAATCCCAGTTCACCCCGATTATGTTTCTAGGTTTGTCAGCACAATACCCGTGCTCGTGGGTTTCACCGAAGTGGTAAACGTCTGAGACCTGCATCACTTCGGGCTTTCCTCCCACATTAAGCTGACACTCCACGATATAACTGGAATACTGTTAAAAGTGGCGTTAAACCCAACTCACTCACTCACTCTTAAAGATACATTTGTCTTCATATTATGTGATTTGTTACAAAATGTAATGTATGGAATATTTTGTGTTGCTCAATGTTAGTTTTTACTTTAAAAGAACTGTTGACTAACTGTAATGAAACATCCCAGTACTTTCCAAACTGATTAATTCACTGACAAAATGTAGCTCATCCTCCAAGCCAAAACTCGGCTGCCGAAATAAATATACAATGCTTCAAAAACATTTTTCCATCTTAATTCTCTTGAATAAAACATTGGAATAATAAAAATACAAATTTCTAAAAAAATATTTATGACACTTCCTTCCACACCTCAATTAAATACCCAATTTAGAAATTAAATACAAACTGACTTTCTCCACTGTCAAAACCTAAATGTGTTATCGCCAGTGATTAAGGTCTGTCACTATTTGCGAGACAGGTTAACCCGAGGTGCCAATGAAATTGATTTTGTGTTTGTAACACCTATTTAAGTATAACATGAATCTTCTCCACTTCGATGGGTGGCCAGCGAGTACCTGCTCGTACTGCATGACTTACTGACAGTCTAGCGATTCAACACATTAATATATTCTCCTGAATTCCACATCATATTCCTCCAGTATTTGAATTACAATACTTTTGTTTCAAACACTGTCAATTATTCAAATACTGATAGTAGAGTTTTGCCATGCATGTATTTAATTAATCATTAACATTTTACAAGGGTTCATGACTTCTTAATGATTTTTATGAAAATCTTTAAAACTTAAATCAAAACAGATAAGAAAATTAATCAAGGTGCTCAATTTCAGAAGTGTTAAGAAGAGATAATATTGCTTAAAACAGTTGTGTATAATATTTCTGATTTCTTATCACACTGAATTAATCACGTAAATCAAAGTTTTTTATAATTTCTCTTATCTTTGAAGCTCATGGATGACTTGTATAAAAAGTGATTTTGAATAAAGGCTGATAATATAATTTGCCTCAGTTAAAGATAATTCACAGTATCTCAAACATGACTGAAAATTATTATTATTGCAAAGTAATCAATCACCATAGATACGAAAACATAGTAATCAGTCTGATCGCAGCAACCTAAATGTAAAATATGGTATAATATGTTGAAGTTCAATGGCTGAAGCTCATCAAAAGATTCAGGATTATCTGCAAGGTTTTATGTTTAAGCAATCACATTTTAAGTTGTAATTAAGTGAGTGAATGGGTATGGTTTTATGCCGCTTTTAGCAATATTCCAGCCATATCACGGCGGGGGGACACCAGAAATGGGCTTCACACATTGTCCCCATGTGGGTGACGAGTTAACACTTTAACAACTAAGCTACCCTACCACCCCTGTGGTTATGAAGAAAGGTATATTATATTCTATGTAACTTAATTCAATAATTGCGAAGTAGCTTTTGAAGATTGAGGGAGTTAGGACTTAGAATTATCCTAAAAGCCTGTATAAATCGCATCTGGATCACACGAACCACTGGTTGATAGCATGAGCAACATTTCCTAAAAGCCTGTATAAATCACATCTGAATCACACGAACCAGTGGTTGATAGCATGACGAACATTTCCTCAAAAGCCTGTATAAATCACATCTGGATCACACAAACCAGTGGTTGATAGCGTGAGAAACATTTTCTGTGTTTGACTTGCTTTGGTATGATGACATGAAGTCAGCTAGACGTTTATTTGTTTCCATTTGATCAATGTCCCTTATGGAAAGCATGGCACAAATGGGGCCTATTACATCACAGAATCCTCAGAGAGAGACAAGCATGGCATACAGGGGACCTATTACACCACAGAAACCCAATGGGAGACCAGTTTTGATGAACATGAGAGTGACAAAATGTATTGAGATCGGTAGCCATGTGGATACAGATGGGTGGCTATGTGGATACAGATGGGTGGCTTCATGGATACAGATGGGTGGCTTCATGGATACAGATTGGTGGCTATGTGGATACAGATGGGTGGCTTTGTGGATACAGATAGGTGGCTATGTGGATACAGATAGGTGGCTATGTGGATACAGATGGGTGGCTTCATGGATACAGATGGGTGGCTATGTGGATACAGATAGGTGGCTATGTGGATACAGATAGGTGGCTATGTGGATACAGATGGGTTGCTATGTGGATACAGATAGGTGGCTATGTGGATACAGATGGGTGGCTTCATGGATACAGATGGGTGGCTATGTGGATACAGATAGGTGGCTATGTGGATACAGATGGGTGGCTTTGTGGATACAGATGGGTGGCTTTGTGGATACAGATGGGTGGCTATGTGGATACAGATGGGTAGCTATGTGGATACAGATGGGTGGCTTCATGGATACAGATGGGTGGCTATGTGGATACAGATGGTTCGCTTCATGGATACAGATGGGTGGCTTCATGGATACAGATGGGTGGCCACATGGATACAGATGGGTGGCTATGTGGATACAGATGGGTTGCTTCATGGATACAGATGGGTGGCTTCATGGATACAGATGGGTGGCTATGTGGATACGGATAGGTGGCTATGTGGATACAGATGGGTGGCTATGTGGATACAGATGGGTGGCTTTGTGAATACAGATGGGTGGCTTTGTGAATACAGATGGGTGGCTATGTGGATACAGATAGGTGGCTATGTGGATACAGATGGGTGGCTTTGTGGATACAGATGGGTGGCTTTGTGGATACAGATGGGTGGCTATGTGGATACAGATGGGTAGCTATGTGGATACAGATGGGTGGCTTCATGGATACAGATGGGTGGCTATGTGGATACAGATGGTTCGCTTCATGGATACAGATGGGTGGCTTCATGGATACAGATGGGTGGCCACATGGATACAGATGGGTGGCTATGTGGATACAGATGGGTTGCTTCATGGATACAGATGGGTGGCTTCATGGATACAGATGGGTGGCTATGTGGATACGGATAGGTGGCTATGTGGATACAGATGGGTGGCTATGTGGATACAGATGGGTGGCTTTGTGAATACAGATGGGTGGCTTTGTGGATACAGATGGGTGGCTTTGCGGATACAGATGGGTGGCTTCATGGATACAGATGGGTGGCTATGTGGATACAGATAGGTGGCTATGTGGATACAGATGGGTGGCTATGTGGATACAGATGGATAGCTATGTGGATACAGATGGGTG